CGCCAGCGGGCCGCCCAAGAACATCATCGGCGCCGTCGCCGGCGTCGGCGCCGCCGCGGCCGTCCTGGCCGCCGCCGGCGTCGCATACTGGGCGCTGCGCCGCCGCCGCGCGGCCGCTGCGACCGCCGCGGCCGGCGGGGACGGCGGCGGCGGCGCCGGCGGGTTCGTCGACCCGCAGGGCAGCCCAGTGGCGAGCGGCAGCTCTGGCAGCGGGCTGTCTCGCAAGCGGAAGGGCTCCAAGAAGCGCATCTGGAAGCGGAAGATCAAGCGCGCGGAGCCCGGGGAGTACAAGCCGGACCTCATGCGCGACTCGTTCACGGACTACCTCCACCGCCCCGCGTTCCAGGCGGGCGTGGCCATCGCGACCGCCAACATGGCGGCCGGCGGCCGCGAGTTCACCAACCCGCTGGCCAGCCTGCGCGACGAGGTGGGGGGTCGCCTGCTGCTCGAGCCCACGCTCGCGTTTGTGAGCGGCGCGCGGCCGCTGCCGCAGGGCGCCGCGGACGGCGGCAGCCTCATTAACCTGGACAGCGGGGACGCTGACGAGGCGGACGCAGTCGGGCTCGTCAGCCGCCGGCGGCTGGAGGTGGCGCCGTCGGAGGTTGAGGTTGACGAGGAGCAGCCGCCGCCGCAGCAGGAGGACGCGCCGGGCCAGCTCGAGCCGCGGTTCTCGCACAACCCGTTCCAACCAGGGTACGGGTCCGTCGCCGGGAGCGTCGCGCGCGGTGGGCAGCCACACGGCGGGGCGGGCAGCTACGCGGGCAGCGCGTACGGCGGCCGCTCGCGGCTCGGGCGCATCAACACGCGCGTGCGTGACGGCGCGTCGCGGTTCAGCGCGGCCGCGTCTGTGGCCGGCACGGAGGACGGGGTGGAGGAGAGCCAGGGCGGCACCCCCACCAGCTCCTGCTGCCACGACAGCGTGTGCACGTTCCGCATCGCGCCGCCCGCGCCCGGCAGCGTCGCCGGCAGCGTCGCGGGCAGCGTCGCGGGCAGCATGCGCGGCGGCGCGTCACGCGCGCGCCGCGCGGCGGCGGCAGCGCGCGCGAGGGAGCTGGCGATTGCGCGGCAGCGGGACGGCGAGGAGGGCAGCGGGAACCTGTCGCTCAGCCGCACCAGCTGGGCATCCCAAGACCTGCTGGTGTCGGTGCCCTCATCCGCACCCATCGAGCGCCACTGACGCGGCCCC